AACATTTTATACCGGAGCAGAATTAGAAAATTGCATTCCATGCCTTTGCAGCAATTGCATTTCTATTTATTATCGCATTAGTGTTTAACCTTGATGCAATAAGACGTTGCTTCATAAATTCCTTACTGTTTGTCAGGCCTGAAAGAGCGATATGATATGAACCCAGGTTCTAAACTCGATGCGAGAAAACTTTTTTGAGCCCTGAGGTAGCGGCGCCATTGCTCTCTGAACCGGTATTCTCTTCTGGGCAGTATTTTAGTCGCTCTATGCCCATGATGTACCCCAGCGCCTAAGTCCCATGGGGGGGGGGGGAGTTACCTGCATCAACGACGAGAGAGCCGCGGTGCCAGATGCCTTGAGGGCACTTTTGCCACTCTTCGTGTTCTCGTGCCACGCTCTCGTGGTTCAACAATGGATCAGCATGAGAGATATCGCAGACTGGGTCCATAAGGACGCGGATATAAGCTCTATCTGCCGTTCTCTTGAAACAAAGCACCCAATCGATGCGCTCTTCGATCCGTCTCGTCGCGCTTAAAAATGTAAAATTTTGCAAGCTATTTGTTAATATTATATTATAGAGTAAAAAGTAAGTTATTATATTATTAAACAGATATATTTTTATATACCTTTTTTCTTTCACAAATTTTTATGAAAAGTATTTTAGCAAACAGGTATAAAATAATTTTTTTTAATTATTTAAACTTAATTAAAGAACATGATCTTTTATTAATTTACTTGAAGTTTAATTTACTAAAAAATTTATTATATTAAACTATATTGCATATTAAATTTTTTGTATAAACTTATTAACTTTATTAATAAAAGAGAAATTTATTTCAGAACATTGAGAAAAAATTTTAGTTTAAATTCATCCATTTTAATAAAAAATTTTTATATTTTTACTCAAAGGTTGGTAGTACTTTTATTTGATTGAGCATCTTACAGTTAAATAATTTGTATAAAATTGATTGGTACGTAAAATCAAGAAAGAAATTAGATGTGCAGTATTCATCGTTAAAGAATTGTAATGATTACAGCTTTTCAAGCTTTATGGATAACTTCTCAATTTATTATTCGAAAATTTGATATGAAATGATGATTTGCTAATTTGCAATTTCTTTCAATCGTTACCATTTTTTAATATCCTATAGAGAGGAGCAATCGTTGTTTTTATCTGCCTCGTGCACGCAAAATTTCTCGCTGCTGAGTTAGGAATGCGGAAAATCTAACGTTCCTTTGCTGAGTTTTACAAAATAAAACAGGCTACGAATAAGATTAATTCATAAATCGAAACACAAGATCTTTTCTGACAGATAATAAAAATGTTTCTCTTTTTCGCGGCGCGAACCCCACATCATCAGGAATAGATTCTTCCAATATATCATATATCCTCCCAGTAACGTCAAAAAACTAATGATGTGTTCTAACCTTCGGCTTCTTTAGTTCTGGAACTTTAAGCTATTGTTATTAGAATAGCCAGATCATTTTGTGCGAGAGGATGGTCACACAATCGATACTAAACGAGCCTAAGGATAGTAAAACCACTTGAAGGGAACAGTGGCGATCGAGTTAATGCTGACGCCATCATCATCTTCTGTTATTAAAATTAATAATGGTAAACTTTTACAATGTTTACAAAGTCGAAAGTGTCTCTTTAAAAAAGAAAATTTTGTCTTTACTTTTCATAAGTATTACAAAAACGTTATAATGAAATTACTGTGAACGAAACTTATATATATTTTTATAATATTCTCTTTTACAAATTATAATTTATATGAAAATATTTCATTCCTTTCGACACTGCTTCTTCCACATTACATCACGTACGATCCTTATGGCATATGAAGCACGTATGTTTAATCAATCAGGTAAAACTTCAACAGAAATCCCGCGACGTTGTTAAACATCAGGTAAAGTAATTCTACGAAAGAGTCCCGTAAGAAAAGTATGCGTGGAAGCAAGAAATCTTCAGGTATAAACGAAAGGATGTATGATCACGAAGTGGGGAGCAAGACAAAATGACTTATGCCGAGGATGTGTGAAAGAGGAAAATAAGTAGCTAAATTTAGGTCCACGCATACTCGTAACCACCTGTTGACTCTTCGGGAATGAAGCTAGCACGTGTGTGATCGTCCTTGCTTCATTTTACTGTGTAATAAATCTTTATAGGAAAATAACATCAAGTATCAAGCATAAACCATTAAACTTTTTAAATGTTATAGGTATGAACATATGTATCTTTCCAAAATCTCGGTAAAATAATGTGACAAATTGGGTTTAAAAATAAAACGTTTACAGAAAAACAAAATTGAAAATTGCATAATAAATATTTGATCATTTTCCTATTGATATGTTTGATGAAAAACAGAATTTTAAGTTATATTTTAATTTTAATTTATATTAATGTTTTTTTGCGATGAAAAAGTATTGACAACGAAAAATGACAACAGCAAAACAACAAAAAAAAGATACGGTTTTTACGATAAAACCGTCTATAGAATTTTCGAATCCCTGCTGATATTTCGATCCTCACAGTAGGAGGTAAAGGGATAACTATGATCCCCTAACGATGCTTTAACTGGCGATGCACCTTTAAAGGAAAAATTCGCTTGTCAGGTATCCAAATTTGGTACCATTGTTCCTGCGTTGCTACACGTATAGTCTAGACTGTGTGTTCGCGAGAATAGTTTTTCTGTGGTCTGTCGGTGCTAAATAATATCGCGGATAGTCAAGCCACTTGAGGGACAATAGACAAGAATTGTGTCTCGTAGACAGAGGCGCCGAGAGCCGAGGGTGAGTCGAGAGATGGCTGCGACCGCCCCCATGTTACAAGCTATCGAAAGGGCATAGTCAGGCACCTGCTAGCTAAACATCAGTGTCCCTTGCGAACCAAACTAAAATCTATAAGGAGATGTATTCCTATCGTGACCAGGTTGAATAGATCAGGTTGACCTGAAATTAAATTAACACGATTATGACTCGAGAGCGCGCATTATCTATACTAATATAAGAAACATAATGTTAAAAAAGTATAATAAAAGAATGTAGTAATATTATATTAGAAATTAGTTGAAATTACTTAACTACTTTGATTATAAGCGTATATTTTCATTTTATTTGTTTATTCCAGTATACTGTATATTTCTTTATAGTAACATGTGATAATGGGACACATATGTCGTTCATAATATGTTAATAAAATATTAAGTAGATAATAATCAGGAAGATATTACATAACGAAATATAGTTACAAACATAGCACTAATTTCTTACTGTTACTTTCTATCAAGCGATATAATGCAAATATCTATAAAAGTCATTAATTTTGCTTTACATTACATTATTTTGCAACCTAAAGCATCACGCGATTCGTCTATCAAATATGTAATTTTTTGGACATAATTGTCAGCATTTCTTTAGGTAATTTATAAAAGGAATGGAGAAATATCGATAAATACGTTGCACGTTTGCTCTTTCGTGGAATATCTCTCGACAAGAATGTATTTACGATAAAATAAGCGTGTATATCGTGAAAAGGGCAAATGGTCGTTGTACTCTTCGTGTTGCTGCAATTTTTGAGATGCAACGACGAGAGTTCCTTCCCCGAAGCAACTCCGCGGGAATGGATTCTTCTTGGAAACTGAACACGATGTATTTTCACGCCTGTCTAACATGGCTTTTACGTAACTCGATTACAGATTCTTACCAGTCCTCCTCTCGGGGTATCCGATTAGATACACACCGCAACTATGATATATACTACTTACGGATCATCATTTTTATCCTAATTATTACCTCAAACGTTTCGATATTACGTAAAGGCAATGAAAATAGCTATACATTATATTTCTTTTTCAAAATGAGGTACGTTCTTCATTTCTGGCTTTATATATTATTAGAAATAGTGGTTAGTCAAAATAGCTTCTAGTGTGTTATTGTTTCATCTTATAAATTATTAATATAGAGACATAGTAATAAAAAATATGTAAATTTCATTTATTATATGTGATGCCTTTATATTATATATACTGCAGGCATTATATTTAAAGCTAATTACAATAATTAAAAGCGATATATACAAATAAATTATCCCTTAAAAAATATTTTGCAGTTTATAATTTTCACATGGATAATTTTACCAAATAATTTCTGATACCTGAGATTATAGATTCCATAATATTTCTAAAAAATGTAAAATGATTGAGGCGCGAAAACATCTTGTCATCTCTTATCCTCATTTTTTTTTATAAAAGCTTACTCGATTAATTTAATATTACTCGGAACACATTCGAAACCGCTCATCATCATCATCAAATTAAACACTTCCTTCGCCAGAACAGCATCTACACCCCCGACCTTTCCATCCCTGCGGCATCTTCAGGTTCTCTCTTGTATTCTCTCCGCGAGCAGAACACATGCTTTTCTTTTTTCTGGTCCAGATGCATCACACGCAACCCCTCAGGTGTGTGCTGCTCCGATCGGGGCATCTTATATGCGGTATCGCACGAACGTACGAATGTATATTCTACACCTACTACTGCAAGTCAGGAGTTTTGGCGACTGGTGTGCGTGTGTACATGTGGTGTATACCTGATGCGTGTTGTACCTGGCTAGAAGAGCAAAGTAGGGGAAACGTTCTATGAGGTAAGACGAAGAGATGGAGGAGGTGCGAGAAGGAGGATGGTGGGAAGCTGGATGGAGGCGAAGGTGTGCGAGGCAGGGAAGTTAAGAGCTGTCTTCTGCTTTGCGGCGTTTTAGGTGGAGGGGGGGCGGGGCGGCGCGGTGGGGCGAGAGGACCAAAGAAGCCCGACAGCGGCAAAGGAGAAGGTGCTCGGCCCTGCCATGCCGTGCCGCGCTGCGCCGATGATGATGACGCCGGTGGTGGTAACGGTGATGGTGGTGGTAGTAGTAGAAGGTGGAAAGGGAGAGAGAAAGAGAGACGGAGAAGACGAAGCGCAGGAGAGGCGAAGAGAGAGTCCTGCTCAGCGTGGACCTGTGCGTCGTTGCATGGCCGACCTGGAGACTCGCTCTCCGCAAGGTGAGACGCGCGGACCAAAGAGGAGGTCTCGAAGGATCGACAGGAATTCTCGTGAAAGCTGACTCTTCCTCTTTCGCATGCTTACGATCGCGCGCGCCCGTGTTCTCCTTCGGCCACCTCTGTCATTCTTCACTATCTCGCGTTGACTCCGACTTGATTCTCTTCGTGTACCAAGGAGTGAGTGATCCGTATCTTTTTATCCGTGAGGGATCTCCGGACTTTCCACTAAGTGCTCTCGATACAGATCCGCCACTGAAGTGAAACCGAATCATCATTTATCAGTGAAAACATCGCATCTTATATCGAACCAAGTTAAACGCGTGTGCTCATCCTTGGATTCGCTTGGAGCTTTGAGTGAGACACCTTAAACAAGAATAAATCAAACTCTCAAACAAACTCGTCATTGGACATCTTCGTGGAAGCGACGTCAAGGCGGACGTAAAGTGCGGAGTCGACACGTTCGACCGTGATAACGTGTGCTAACGTTAGAGTGTAGCGTCTCTTATCAAGCGCACGAAACCGATCTCTCGTACGGCCACAATTTTATGTGCGCGTATCCGTCAAGAGAAGTCTACTTGCATCATATCAAGACGCTTGACAACTATACGTTCGGCGAACGATGTCAGTTGCTTCGTGCCATGTGACCGATCGAAATCGCCGTCATTAGGATTTACGAATCGATGCATCTTTTTGGAGCTATTTCGCGAAATCGCGCGAAATCGCTCTGCGCGGAAGGTGAACAGTGTGTGTTTCCTCGGTGGCGTTAAATTATAAATTCGAATGCCTGGTGCGCGTAAGTGTGTACACATCGCTAGCTCGGAAGACTCGTCGCGAAAGTAAACGTTGGAATTTCCTTTCGGAGTCTCTGCCAAGAACAGTCCACGTTCGTTTCGTCTTGGATTTATCTCACGGGCCGCATGAATGTTAAACTAAGGTGAGTGAGGTACGCTTCTATGAATTTGCGGAATCGCGCGGTGTCGATATCGTCTGCCATCTTTACGCGCCAAATTGCAACGAGTGTGGAGTGTTTACTTTCGTAATGTGATTTTGCTGCGGCGATGATCGCAACATCGACTCGTATATGATACCATCTTTCACGCATGTCTGACGTACTTCGACTGCAAATGATAAGATATTTAAACATGAAAATTTGTATTTTTGTGGTATATTCAACGCTAAACATAATCGTATTATTTTCGTAATATTTTTTTATCAAATGTTTTTTTCTTAAACAAATAAAATAGCAATTATATTTTTACATTTAAAAAATTGGGGGGCATTCATCATTTCTTTCTAAATTTAATAACGTACGAGAAGCACGCTAGTGAAATATCATGGAGTTACTCTATAATAGCCTTTTTCTCGCAAAAATACTTTATCAGATATTATTTTTAAATGTTACTTCGATTTTTCTCGACAAATTCATTTGTTTGGTCTCGAAAATTTTTCTCACAACTTTGTGGATAAGCCAGGACTGTTTCTATTCCTTCTCAAGATATCGACATGCTTTCCCTGTGGGTACATTCTTTTCTTTTGAGACAAATAATGGTTCTACAAATTAACCATTTTTAAGTGTCACGAATGAATGAGAGTTTCTTTTCAAAATCTCAGCTAGAGAGAAGGTTCGTAAAGATTTGATAAGAATAGCCTCTCGAGATTGAAGTGCCCTTTTTCACGGAAATTTTCAGATTTTATTTTCTTTTAGTTTATCTTTTTTACTAAAATATATCACGCAGCGTTACTTGAACTGCATAAAGTGACATTCTTACAAAGTATGTGACATTAGGTCAGTGAGGCCATTAATTGTAAGTTTAATGGTTATATCTTCTTAGAAAGTCATGTACCAATCATTTTATTAACATAAATCTATATGTTTATAATTATAAAATATTATTTTTCAAATATATATTTGTTTATTTAATGCTAAACAAATAGATATTGTTATTATATGCCAAGTAATTATTACAGACCTGATAAGTACGTAAAGAGATCAAGTTTATATATTCCGTTTATATATGTTATGATGTGTCTTTCACAGTCCAAAGATGAGTTAATTGCAGTAAACTCCATTTTCATATAACACATATAGTATACACTATAACTTCTAACATAAATAAGTTTCACACAAGTTATATTTTTATTTATTTATTATGTATATTCTATATTATTTAACACACATATGTAATTGAATAAATCTTTGCACGTATCGTGTGTTATTAAAATCAGATTAACGGTTAACTAGGTTTACTAATATTTCTCGTGTTGATGACATTTAATAAGATAGCTTTGTTGTCAACACAAGCTAACAATCATAAATCATCGGTATATTGCCAAAGCAAAAGTTCTTAGCGTATATAGAGTTTTTCACTGTTTTTCCTTGTGACCGATTAAATATTTATTAGTATTTAAATATTAAATAACGAGAACTGGGAATTATTTAAATCTGTAATAAGATACTAAAAGAGCGTCAACTCTAATAATTATAATTTACGCTTGAATCTTTATAAAAATTAGCATTGAATCACTACATACATATTTTATGTAAAATATATTAATAAATAAACGATTAATGTATAACTTGTGTGTGTAGTAACATGGGAAATTTTCTATATGTGAAGATACAAATATTAAATTATTAACCTGTAGAGGACGGGAAGCCTATAAATAAATAAAATAAATAAATAAATAAATAAAAAGTTATGAATGAATAAAAATGAAAATAGTCATGAAAAAACTTGCTGGTCCTCTAAAGATTAAACTGTTATTTTTATTATATAACCATATAATTTTTATTTATAATTATTATTATATAATAAGAATAACCACTTCGCATTTTACATTTATATTTTGACACCGTTGATTTCTGTAAAGATAGTTACCATTTCTCCGATGATCTCTTCACTTGAGCCTGATTCTTGATAGATTATTATTTAGAAGAATTTCTTCTGAGAGCGACTCTAGTTAGGTTCTCAATCATATGCACCCATTTGTAGATACGCGACTGAGCTCTCTCTCTCTCTCTCTCTCTCTTTCTTCTTTCTCTCTCTCCGTCACTTTTGAAAATGAAAGTTCACGCGGGGCCTGCGAGCACGAGGAACATACGAGTCTGGAATTTCTTCCTCGGGGCCCCGCGGGACCTCCATGCCTAACGTTCGCAGGATCGTTAGTATCCGCTGGAGAGTTGAACGCTGGGGTAAGAAGCTGCGTTGGCGGCGGACGTCTGTTTGGAAAACATCGACTGGCGAGCATGTGACATCTGCTAGCGCGCACCATTAGGTGTCTTTCAAGTCTCTTCGTTGGCCTGCTTCTCTATCGCGAGAAACTTTTCTTTCTTTTTCCCAACACGCTTTCCAGCTGATCGACGTCAAAAGCCGGCTCGTCGAGTTGATTTGAGCAATGCATTTTCACGATCATTTCTCGACGAACCTTTGGAGAATTATACCTGAATCGAATCATGAACATGTGAAAGTAGAGCAGAAGAAATATTGTGTAGGCGAAAAGAATGCATAAGATAATGTATAAAAATATTTTAATGGTATTAATGTGCATTAACTAATTTATTAATAGTATTTAACATGTATAAAATTATAATGAATCTATATGTATAACACTTTTTTTATTTTATTCTCCTCATGTTTAAAAATATTACAAATTATTTTGCATATTATGTATACATATTATTTGTTTTTAACTATCTTTATCTAACAATAAGCCGCGAGGTCGGAACAACTTAATTTTATTATTGCAAATATATATATATATATATATTCTAGCCTAATTTAGATCAACATTTCTAATTTATCTATTAATAATGTTTGATTCTTAGTATAATGCAATTAATGGCGCTCTGGTATTTCTAATCAACTTTCTTGTTTTGGCCGAGCAAAAGTATGCAAAGACGTTCGCAGCAGTATACGCAACGTTTATTATAACAATGACGTCTCCTAGTTTGCCATGCCGCGACGTGGACGTACGCCACTTTTGGGATGTTGTCCTTATAGTTATGCGTACATATGTATGCGCTGGTTCAGCCCCGCGTTCCTGAGCGCGACTCACTCGAAAAATATATTCCAGTTCTTCTAGAGACGCGCCTACTTTAAAACAGAGAAAAGCATTAATTCTTATGAGAGGCGCCTGCCTATTTTGGAAGTACGAAAAGAGTGCCGTGAATGTCATTAGAATACTATTAATCTCATTAAAATGTACCCGAAAACTACTGCGCATTTGAGATCACTGCGATACGATTTCCCTCCTCAGGAAAAAGTTAGTTGAGATTAGCGATAACTTTGGCGCCACCGAAATTAATGCCGAAAGACCTGACTGCGTCATTGATTATGCACTAAACACAATTCTGGACTCACAATGTAGTCAGTATTTGAATTTCAATACCGCTCGGGTCACTGACTTGGGTTGTCAATTCTCGAAAATAACTTTGCATATATATTTTTTTTTTCTTTTTGCTATTTGCAGAGTGTTTCAGATCTATTATTAATTTATTGAGGAACTAAAAATAATAATAATAACTTAAATATCCGAAACATTGATCTTTAAATTGAGTGATGCAAATAAGTTATTATTTTATATATTTCACGCATATAATTTATAATGGTATTTAAAGATTTTTATAATAATATTATCAATATAAACATATATATGCAAAGAAATATTTTTAATAAATTTGAAAAAGCAAGGTGGTATATTTGTACAATTGCTATAATTATTTTGAGAGGAGAAACCTGGCGCTCTCTAATCTCAATTAGAGTAATTATGATAATGTATTTATCGCGTTGCTCGCGCCGTGTTCGACACAAATTCATCGATTGGACACAAGTGCAAATAACTTATGTAAGATTTTCGTACGGTTCTTTCTTGACGTTCTTCTATCGTTTCTAATTATCGTCGCATTGTAAGATGATAACTGTCGGCAACAATAAATGCCACTCACGAATTTCTCGAACGAAAACAATTCGCACCGGCGATTTGCGCAATGCATGACTCTCGACCGACTTCGATCTACCGATCTCGTGCAATTTGTCACTCCGACCGGTTCGAACAAATGTCAACCATAGGCATAAAATACTATCGTGCACGCGAACGCCGGCCAATCCAGTTTAAACACCGCGACTTATCTCGCAATGACACGTGACACACTCTGTAATGAGTATCGAAGTGCCTCCGGGCGATGCGATATAAATCTCATTTTATGTGTCGATTAATCTGAGGACTCGAATTGATTCGATAGAGATAAGCATAGTTATTATCTTAATATGAACTGATGTATTTCTGTTAATATTCATAAGAATTTCGATAGGTACAGTAAATACGAATTCAAAAATATGACTTTTCGGATACAGAAAATAGATCTCCGAAGTTTCTTTGTGTTATTCTTAGATACGCGTTATACAAAGTCGAGAGCGTGACTTTTGGAGCATCCCTGAAGGTCCTTGCAGACGGTCAACCGTGAATTCTTTCTCCAGAAAAGTTCCATGAAGGTCCGCATGGATCTTTATAGCCCATCTTAGTTAGAGGGTATTGACGCCAGACGGTGTTTTTCTATTTCGTCTATCCCACCTGCTTCGATGTAGCTCGAGAAAAAGATCACTAGAAAACTACAGTATAGACTAGGAAAAGAATATACACACCGACCGTCACGCGAATACACATTTCAAGCACATGCTGTGGATTAAAGTTCAGAATAGAACTCATTATAGAGATTTTATTTTATTATGCCGTTAGCCGCGATTTTGGCGATTATTTCTTAATCAAGAACTGATTTCCTTAAAATATAATTAATGTATATTTTTATGCAATATTACTTCCGTATATACATAATTCTATGAAATCAATGATAAAACATTGCTTCTCCAAAAACATAGATTTCATAACTTACTTAATAAACATTCTTCTTAGATGGTGTATTATGAAATTATATAG